TATAGTTTAAAAGGTATGGTTGATTTAAATTGTCTAAGATAAAATAAAGTCTATGAATTTGTTCTGCATATAGAGTGAGAGAAGAGACATGCATACACACCTTACCTGACAAAACGTGTACTTTGGGCCCATTAAACTGACACTGATTTGACTAACAAAAAAACAAATAAAAGAAATATACTAGTGCCGTGCATCTAGGTGGGTCATGCATTCTCACGAATCTCAGAAGAAGTGAGTGGTCTCAGAGATACAAGGCAATGGCGCAAAATGACTTTATACATGACATCATCAATGAGGCCATATTTAGTTATATAGGATTTGCAAGGCTAAAAAAAAGCTCAAACGAATAAAATGTTCTAAGGCAAAAGTTAAAGGTTCTAACAAAAAAGAAAGAATTGTCTGATTTACAACACATTATTCATGCATGACAAAAAAAATGTATTATTAATAGCGCTCTATCATTAATCATATATTTTACGTTCTAATACGCGGACGGTGTCGGCGCCTTCACGGGCGACACATTGGTGCCCTTGGTGACGCGTACACGCTTGACGAGCGCAGACATGACGCCCATGATCTTCTCCAGGTCACCGTCTTTCGAGAGCAGGTCATTCTTCTTGGACGCCCCATCCCCCCGGCACTCATCGCAGTTCCACACGACCGAGTCGCTCTCGGTCCTCGCAATGAAGCTCCGCACGTCGGCGAGCCTCACGTTGTGGTGACCAAGGCGCGCGGCGGCGTCCTCGATGTCCGCCGCGCAATGGTCCATGCACCACCACATGCCATCCTTGATGCCCTTCTCCTCGGAGCGCGCGAGGGTGGCCACCTTGGCGCTGGTATTGGCTGCAGCATGGACCGCAATCTCGGCCAGCGCGGGAGCGTCCGCAGATTTACTCTTCGAGCATGCTGAGAGGACGGTGACACAATACTCTGGGTACGGCGTGTCGGCGCATGCCGCCTTGATATTGCCGCCGGTGGCGTCGACGAGGGAGGCCGCGCCAAGGAATAGGAGGAAGAGGGAGAGCGCGCGCGTGCTCGGGCAACGTGTCGCCATGGTCATGGAGGTGATGCGAGATATGCATGGTGCTATCTCCCATATATAGAGGAGCATGGCGCTATTGCCCATGTACGTACGCCCATATCTCTACCTAATAATAAAGCACGCACCATTTTTGGTCGTCCGTCGTGCCTTTAAAAAAAAGTCCATGCAGTTAGTTGAAATCAACCTCCAGCCCATCTTTTAAGTTGAGACGAATCGTTTTTTTCCATTTTACGTAAAACACACCTAAAGATTATACTAATCAACCCGCAATCCAACATTTAGTCGCCGCGAACCGTTTTCTAAACTTTTACATAAAAGCCCCTAATATTTGCGTTAATCAATCCGCAGTTCATCTGGAATAAATATTTTTCAAAATAATCATATCTTTTAAACTCTAACTCCAATTTTAACATATTATATATGAAATTTGGTTAAAAAAATATGCAGAATCCAAATATGATGTTATTTTTATCTAGGAGCTATTAGAAAAAAGCTATTTAGGGCTCAACCTAAATCAATGGTGCATGATCCTCATTCCTTCGTACCGGCGTCGATTTGTATTGCAAATAAACATGTCGCATGCATTGCTCTATGCTGCTTGGCAAGGAGAGAGTCCGGAAATGCTTACAATGAATAAATTACAATCCATAGGCATGTTGTACTTCCACCCGTTTCTGTGGTGAGCCCTGCTATATGTACGACATTTTCACGTCCGAACACATATACGATTGTTGTTGCATGTGCTTTCGTCCAATCAACCAGCTCCATCGGGGAGAAGAACATGAATGCAGCATGGAGTCTAGTAGAGACACATCAGATCGTATGTACAAAGATCGTGTGTAAAGCAACTTCGTTCTGTGTTTGTACATGTCCCATAATTGAAGACCCTACATATGTATTTTTTTAGCGGAAATTCACACACGTACTTACCACCGGACTACACTATTCTTTTCTATAGTGAATAGAAAAATAATTTTTGTAGCATATACATACACTTATAAAATTCATGAACATCAAAAGTACGTGCAGATATATTTCTAAAATATCCAAACAATTCTTGTGATAGTCATGAACGTTATTATTGAATCCAATACATGAGATCTTAATTTGTGTTTTATCCGCTGCATGTCATGGTGACACATATAGACTTATTTTGAAAAATATCCAAACAATTCCGGGCGCATATTTTTATGGACATTGGAAATACATGAAGATTTATTTTAAAAATATCCAAACAATTCCGGGTGACACATATAGATTTAATTTAATCAATTTTATGGGCATCGGAAGTATATGAAGATTTATTTTGAAAATATCCAAACAATTCCGGGCGGCATATTTTTAATATTTCCTTTTTTCACCTTTTGTTTTTACACATTAAATAATTTGGGACTTCAAAAAAGTTCCAAAAATTAAAGAAAATATGAATTTTCAAATATGTTTTTTGATAAATCACATTTTTTGTAGATTCAAACAATGTTCGTGATTTTATAAAAAATGTTTGCTTATTCAAAAAATGTTTGAAGTTTTAAAAACAAATGCTCAGGTAATCAAAAAATGTTCATGATTTTTTAAATCCATGTATTAAAAAAGTTCATGATTTTAAAAAACATTCATGATGGAAAAATATCCTAAAAGTTCAAAAAGTATTTGTGACTTACAGAATAGTTTATTTATTCCTAAAATGTTCGCTGATTAAAAAATGATCATGCATTTAGAAAAATCATTCAATCAAAACAATGTTCCTGAATTTCCAAAATTGTGATGTTTTTTTCAAAACTATCACGTTTTTTATAGAAAATTCGGAAACTATAGCACCTAATGCAAAAAAAATCAAAACTATGACCCCTTCGACCTCGTGTGGGCTGAAGAGGGTGTTTTCGGTCGGCGGTTGGCCGAAAAGGACTCTTTGATGACGCATTGGCCTAAGAGATACACAGCTGGGCCGAAAAGGACTTTTTGGTCAGTAGTAGGGCGAACAGTCCCTGGGGCCCACCGTTCGCGTGAACAGAAGGTCGAAGCTGCATGGCTGCGCTCTTCGGCTTATGTTAGGCCGAAATGTTTTTTTTTTATTTTGACTTATGAATCTGATCAGGACACATATATTGTTTTATGTATGTGAGAAACATATTACTATTAATCCGCATTGTTATTTGAGTTACATTTCTAAAGAGGCTGCAACCGACGATTAAGATACAAGTACATTTGAATTAAATGGTAGGGCTGAATTTAAAAACTACGGCTTACATACTACATGAAGGTATCATCGTCATCCAGCGTCGACGCAGCACTCTTGCCCTTCGATGATGCGGTACTCTTGCCCTTCGACGGTGCGGTACTCTTGGCCTTGGTGCTCGGCATGAAGATATTATCTTCGTCTTCGCTGTCGGCAGTCCATAAATATGTATGCTCTGCTGCAGTCCTTATGAAATTTTCACTCTTCGTCTGCACTACCTTCTTCCACCTTCCATGCAACCTAAGATGTTCTTTACGTACCTCCTCATGGGTCCTTTCAGGCCAACCAGACCTACGTAATGCGTGAGCCGACTCATTCAGTATGGTGTCACTACCGATGAGTTCGTCCCATGGAACTATCCTATTGTTCATCCTGAAATCGATGGCTAGCCTAAGAAGACATTTGCTCATCCCAGGTTGAAAACTATGACCAAAAGGATAATCGGACAACTCGACTACACTAAACTTGACTGCATATCCAGCTTCGTGTGAAGGGGGTTTTATAGGTAGAGAGGAGAAAATGGCGAGAAAGGACGACTGTGGTATGGAGGGAAAGGATTGGCGGGAACATATGGTGGAAAACGGGTGGCGGGAACATATGAAGGGAAAGAGTTGGCGGGAAAATATTGAGGGAAAGGGTTGCGTGAAAATATATCTTTTCAATGTCTAGGATGGGCAATGGTTGTATAAGTCAAAAAAACCATTTCGGGCTAACATAAGCCGAAGAGCGCAGCCATGCAGCTTGGGCCTCCCGTTCACACGACTTTTCGGCCTACTGCTGACCAAAGAGTACTTTTCGGCCTGATGCTGGCCAAAAAGGCCTTTTCAGCCTAGCTACGGATCTCTTCGGCCAATGCGTGACCAAAGAGTCCTTTTCGGCCAACCGTCAACCAAAAACACCATCTTCGGCCCACATGAGGCCGACGGGGTCATATTTTTGCTTTTTTGCATCGGGTGTTATAGTTTCCAAATTTGCTATAAAAAACATGATAGTTTCGGAAAAAAATCAAAAATTGTTCCACCAGTTTCCAAAACAATGTTCGAACATTCATGAATGTTCGACGATTCAAGAAAATTGTTAAAAAAATGTTCACAATTTTTGAACATTGTTCTGAAATAGAATAAAATGTTTATGAATTCAAAAAATGTTCTTGATTTTGGAAAATGTTTGAAAGTTTGTAAAAGTGTTCAGGAATTAGAATAATGTTCACGATTTCAAATATGTTCACGAGTTTAAAAAAATGTTCATGATTTCACGGAATTGATAGTGATACTGTATCTCGGTGGTGCAACAAAATGTGATATTTTTTTTCTCCCGTTACAACGCATAGGTCATTTTTTTTAGTTTTATGTTATAATCATTTTATTTAGAACATACACAATGGATCTAGTATCCAAGCTCTCGTCAAGACAAAACAAAATGTTAGACCGGGTCGAAGACATTTGCAAGTTTAGAATTTGCAAAGAATTTCATGAGGTCGTCATTCTTGTCTACAGTAATATGCATGCATGCAAGCGGATGGAAATAGACTTGTGATCACGAAGGCTACGGCGCGTACGTCGCGCGCTATTGCCGTGCGTGCTCTGACCTGTATGAAACAGCCCATCGTCCTAGGCGCAATGCAAATCGGCCGCTACATGCATCCATGGCAAGGTCCCAAATAGTACAAGTTTGCAGTGCTACACACAGCCACAATCCTCTACATCCTTGCAAGTCACAACAATGGCATCTCGAACAAGAACCACCACGTCTCTCCTCATCTTCGTCCTCGCCACCACGGTTGCCACGTCTACATCGTCCACAAATGCTGCCCCCACTCCGCCGTCACCAAAGGCACCGCCTCCCCCACCACCACCACCATCGCCGCCGCCGCCGCCGCCGCCGCCGTGCGTGGTACCACAGTCGGTCGCAGCGTTCCTCCGCGCGCGATGCGCCACCACGCTATACCGAGTGACCTGCTACAACACTCTCATCCCCTACGGCTGCGTGTTCCAGACAAACCCTGTCAAGCTCGCCAGGGCCGCCGTCGACCTCAACGCGGCCCAGCTCCGCGCCCTCTCCACGCGCGTGAAGGAGGTTGTTGCCCGTGGCGGCATGGGCCAGCCGGGAGGACCTGCCTACGCGGTGCGGGACTGCGCGGGTACGGTGTCATCGGCGGCCGGGCTGGCCAAGAAATCGGGGGACGAGATCGACAAGCTCGAGGCGGCGGGTAGCAATGCGACCGTGACTCAGGTCAGGTGGGCGATCTCCAACGCACAGACGTGGCTCAGCGCGGCCATGGCCAACGAGGCCACATGCACCGAAGGGCTCGCCCCATGGGGGGCCGCCGCCGTCCCGAAGGAGCTTGTTGCCCGGACGGTGATTGCCATGGAGAGCACGAGCGTCGCCCTCGCGCTGGTCAATGGCATGCCACGCTAAAATTAGCAATGATGCAATGTGTGGTGCCTAGTCATTTACAGTAGTTTCCACGAATTAGGGACAGCCTAGTACTTTACTGGTACCTTGAGTCCTTGACCAGCAGTAATAATTTGCAAGTAAAGTTGTTTATAGAAAATTAGACTAGTCCAATGACAACCTAGTAAATAAAGATGTAAATCTTATATTAGAATGTTGTGTCCAGGATCATTCCTTCTTTATCCCAGAAATAAATTGGACGTCGCTACGCGTCGGCCGGCGAATGTTTCCAATTCATCCGCCGCATGAAGCTCCGTTTGATTAGCGCCCTGACAGCTGTCGGATCTGATCATCGCGTGCGCGTGACCACCTCTTACTTCCTGCAACAACCCCTCTGTTTCGGAAACAGATTCCCCTAGTCCGCCGTCTACGACATCTCTCACGCTCGACGCTTCTTCAACGCTTTCCTGCAACCAGAGCTATGTTTCTGAAACATGTGCCATGTTGCAAATGTTTGACCACTCACTCTCTAACGTCGGGCGCTCCACCGGCGCTGCAACTCGGGTTATGTTTCTGAAACAAGACCCTTGTTGCTGGAAAAAAAACCTTCACGACCGAAACATTTCTTTTCTTTCTGAAACAAAAGATATGCTGCAGAAATCTTTTAAATAAGACCCCAGTTGCAGAAAAATAAACCTTCAGCAACGAATCATTTTTTTTTCTTTCTTTCTGAAATTAGCCCCGTGTTGCAAAAATCTACTGAAACAAGATCCTTATTGCAAGAAAAAGAAAAAAACTGGCCGGGCGAGATCCTGCAACTTTAAGTTTATCATAAGCTATGAGCTTCAGAGAAGATCACAAGGAATCCTACGGAAACTATGAGCCTCAAAAATTCGGAAATAATACAAGAGATCCTGCGGCTTCAAGTCTCTTTGCATGACATTACCAGTGCAGAAATTATGTAAAAAGAATGAATAAATCCTACAGCAGATCCAAATTCTGCAACCTAACTACACCAGCGACCTAGAACGCCGCCGAACTACGTACACCGGCGACCACTCTCCAACAAAACCAGCCGTCTCCCTCCTAGTCGCACCGTCCTCGTCATCTCGGTGGTATGGATCAAACCGCCCCGGGGAGAACCGCCATGAACACCTACAGAAATGCCAGAAATGCGAGCAAAGGGGAATGCGGGTCCTAGATCCATACCTGTTGGAGTCGACGTCGGCGACGAACCCATCGCCGTCGCCACCGCGCTGGATAGGCGCCGTCGCCCAAGGCCCTGCGTCGCTAGCCCCGACGCCGTCGCAAATCGAGAAGCATCGCCCTCCCAGTCAACAGAGCCGCCAGTTGCCTCCAGAAGCGTCGCCCTCCCAGTCAATGGAGCTGCCAGTTGCAAGAATGTTGGTTCTGAAACAAGGGCTCTGTTTCAGAAAAATGGATGCGCGTGACGCATAAGCAGGGACGCCCTTGTTCATCTGATCAACAGAAGATCCGACGGACGCGGAGCCGACGGACGCGCCGCGCGTGATCGGTCGGGGGAAGGTAAGCTTTTCCCAAATAAATTAGCACTAACTAACATGGCATATACTCCCTCGTTTTAGAATAGGAAAAAAAATTGCACGAATCTCCATGTAAATATCCTATAAATATAGTATCGACTAAGACTTTCTTAAGTCTCGATCGACAGATTTAGCAATCTCGTTCAGAATATAAGAAACATCAATTTCATAAAAATCAAACATATGTATGTTTGATCAAGGTTATGAAATAGAACATCAACATTCAGAAATTAAGGCAAGGCAAACCCAACGTACAAAGACCTTGAGGTACCTACCTTCTGTTATGGGGTACCATGTGTGGTCTACACAAGTAGAGTGGGGTACCATGCCGTAGAGCCCCCACGTGTTTCCTCTTTGGTCTGGCTAGTGACCAGAAACCGTAGCCGCCGCCAAGAGGAGCCAACCCTTCCGGGACCATTTTCTGGCCGCTCCCCTCTGCCGACGACTTCTTGGTCATCGGTGGTGAGGGGGATCACCGGATCCAGCACATGCAGATCGTTTTTGCTTTAAGTTTTCAGGTCCCTAGTAGCTTAGGTTTTTGGATCGCCCAGCGACTTGGCTTCGGCGGCGGCGACAGCCATGCTGAATTAAGAGCATAATTGGTTTGGTGCCAAAAATTGGCATTGCCAATGTTTGATATTGTGCCAAATATTGGCTACCACTTGGTTGGTTACCGAGTTGTCTTGCGTGTCTCACACAAAGTTACCAATAGTTGGCAAGTATTGGTATTGCCAATATTTGGCAATGCCAACATTTGGCTAGCCAAATATTGGCAGAAACCTATCATGCTCTAAGAAGCTCTAAATTCTTCTCCGGCGAGGCGATCGTCTCTATGGTCGGTGATGGATTTGGGAACCAGTCTGTTCAAGCGAGGATGTCGTGGCGGCGGCGGCAGCATCCTTGTGTTGGACTTGTGTCGTTGGGCTCCTCCATTGCGACGGCGTCTGCTGCAGCGTCGACGCAGAGCTTGGCAGGTAGTCCGGGAGCGGATGCAGATTGTGGCCTGCATCGACAACATCTATAAGACGGAACCTGTGATGGGGTCATAGTTGATCGATGACAGGTATCGTTTCCATCTTCGGCCTCTTTGTCGTGGTGGGGTGCCAGATCTGGAGCTCGATGGCGTGTCTGGGATGTTGCCCGGTTTGATTCGTTCAACGGCAATGGCTTCACCTTGGAGGTCCGCAGAGCTGCGTATCAGCGACGGGGCCACGTCGAGCTCGGGTGAGGAGGTGATCCATCATTGTTTTTTTTTATGATTGTTGTGGTGGCGCCGAAGGCAGGTGACAAACGTTGGTGTCAGTTACGTACTGCTATCTTTTCAGATTTGTCGTGTCCGTCTTAACGTGACTTGTAGTTTGATATTTATGATATAGATGAGACACATATTACGATGAAAAAACAAGTAGAATGAAAAATCAAAGTTGTGAGGAAGAAGCACAAATAAAAGATATTGTACTATGCACATGATATATCTCGTGCATGTATCACCGGTTCGTCTGATTGCAGATTCGAGGCAATGCACCAGTGTGGCCCTTATATTTCACAAGTATTGTTCATTTCATTGGACTTTACCCATCTAGTGCACTAGTTAGGGCATCTCCAACGTGGATTAGCAAATCTTTCCCCAAATGTCTGGACCGGATGTCCGGACGCTTTTAGTCATCCAACGACGGTCATGAAATGTCCGTCGACTGGTCCTCACATTTGAAATCCCACAGATCTTCTCAAAAGTAGGGGAAGGTTTAAGGGAGTCCGGATGTACGCTGGTGCCTCCAACTCAGTCTCAGAATCACCGCTTGAAAGAAAGATCACGAGAAAACTTATTGACCGCCACCATGGCCACCACCGAAGCCAAAGCCATGGACATCCAAAACTTAACTAAGAGCATCTATAGAGGGATTCCCCAAATGTGCCTCAAACACGGCTGGACGGACGGCCGGTCACGAAAACTGGACCCAGACGGGCGCCTCAAACGGGCCTCAGACGCTCGGGCTGACCGGCACTCCTCATATCCAGTCCTAATATGAGGCGGATATGGGGGCGGCCGGGCGCTCCCATCATGTCGGGCCCCGATCCATGCTGGCCCACTGACCCCACATATATTCCTGCCCACCTGCTCGCCGACCAAACCCTAGCCACTTCACTCCACCCCGTCCACCTCCTGAGCTCACCTCCGGTGATCTCCGGCCTTCTTCGCCATGGCGGGCAGCGGATCTGACTCCGATCAGTCTGGATTCGTCGACTGGGGTGTCATCCCGTGCGGGTTGGAGAAGGCAACGGTCGTCCGCATTGCACTCCACCGCTCTCGGGAGGACAGCGCCCAGCCGACGGCAAGATCTGTTTGTCCCGATACCATAGCATCGGCTCAACAGGCGCTTAGATCCTCGGGGGCTGGATCATCGTGGTCCCGGCAGCCTTCAAATCTCTCCTTCCCCATTACCGGCCGAGCGGAGTATGAGTCGCACTTGGATCGGTGTGCCCGCCATTGGAAGGAGAGGATAAGGGCCCCCGAGGCCCGACTCGCTGCCGACATGGTGGCGGCGGAGGCGGTTGATGCAGCGGCACGGACAGCTGCAGAGGAGGAAGCCATTCGCGCCCACTACAAGAAATATGTCAACTAGTGACCTTCTGTCAGTGACCCTGGAAGAATTGGTCATAGATCTATGACCATTTCAGACCAATTGGTCAAAAGTTGTTCGAGGGGCTCCAAACCCTAAACCATTGCGATCATTTTGGTCAGAAAGGTCGTAATTTCCTTACACGAAAAGGTCATAAAGCAAACAGCGCTAGTCCGCTGCCTTATTTCTAGTTGTTAACGACCAATATAGATGGTCATAGCCTTGTAAATTGTGGTGGATTGCCATGACTAGGCGCCACCTCATCAGTTTTGCCTATGTGATGTCCATGTGGTAGTTTTTGCCCTAGGTTGTGAAGCAACCTATATATCTGTCATTCCCAAAATTCCCAAAAAAATCTCATAAATTCTTTGGGTCATATCTTCGTCAAATATGTAAAAACATTCCTTGCCTAGTTCAAAAATAATTCGAAAATATTCATTTTCCTATTCTGTTCAGAGCAGCACTTTGTGAAGGAAGTACCACTTTGGCATGTCCAAATGGTATCCATTTTCTACAGTGCTTTCCTATGCCCAAATAACCATCCTCCACCAAATGCCAGCTCAATCCATTCATTATTTTGAGCCCAGCTTCAACATTTGTATTTATGTCCAGTGTGGTAGTTTGTAAAGCAAGTACCACCTAGGCTCCTCCTTTTGAGGTGAAAATTTGTGAAGACAGTCTTCTTAGTAACTGATCATCCTCAGCCAAAACTCACGCCCATTAGCCATGTGCATTTCCCGTACCGCAAATCAAACACTTGGCTGCTTATTCATGTTTGAGCATCGATCGGTCTCCTCGTGAGAATCTTATGTTGTGATTTTCTTCCTAGCACCTACCTGGG